AACTCACTGGGAGCAAACAAAAAACATACTCATCCACAATGTGATCTGATTTGTGGACTACCCATTCAATCAGCATTGTGATGTGATTTCAGCCATGTACCAACAGTGATGCATGTTAACCCTTTTAAAAATTTCAGGACCATTCTTTCAAATTTCACATCTATAGTCAATTTTATTGACATATAGAGACAAAAAAACAAATCATACACAAGCCATATCGTTGGGGTTTATTCTGACACCAAATTTATAACATTAGATAGATCCTTTGAACTGCTTGATGTTGCAGGAAAACTGGTACAACTATGTTCAACAGTTAAGAAACCACTGTCATCCTTCCCAACTGGCTGCTTGGCCTACGCTATGTTATGTGGAGATATACATCCATTCCGTACCAATCTCCTTTTCCCAGTGACCTTGGGAAAGGTGACAACAGAAGTTTGTAACCCGAATAATTGTAGATGATAAAAGTGGAAACCTTTTTGCAGTTGTTGCAGTATTGTCTCCGCAGTGCATGCAGTCAAAGGTAGTTCCCTCATTGAAGTCAACTTTGCGGTTACAAGTACTACATCCATAATGTAGTAAGGAATTGGTCCATGTTCTCTAAGTTGTAGTTGGCCTTTTATCCAGTATATTTGGTCTTGGATAAATAAAAACATGAAAGTACTATTAACAGCGGAGTGGGGTTGTGTTAACCAAATGATAGCAATAAAAATTTTTACCAGAAGAAAAAAAAATCAAGCATCAATGAATACAATGTAAAGAGCACTTTTTTTGTTTTCTGGGTAGAACCGTATTGATGTTAAAGCAGGCAAAGCAAACACCTTCCACAAGAATGAGTATGTTATTGAAGGTATTAGGAAGTTGTTGACAGCCTTTATGATGGATAGAAGCACTGATGTCTATGCACTTTTAAAACCTGCAGTATCATTTTCATTGCAATTTGAGAAAGTTTTAGGTTTTCAATGACACACAGGTTTCTCAATCATATCTGACATTCCAGGAACATGTGTTTAACATCCAGCAACAGTGTGGAACATGTTATTAATATTATTTGGTTTTGGCTAACAGAATTGAAAAGGTAACCATCAGGTAATCAACTACTCTAGCTATCCTCGTATTACACAAGGTAATCAAGTACTCTAGCTAATATGAATAAATGGAAATTGTCCATACACTGATACTTGGTTTAGAGATACTAAAAGCCAAAAAGGATTTGAGAAAAATTCTTTTTTATATGCTGCGTTCTTGGCTCCTTCATTTTCTTCTAGCAAGTTCTACTGTGTAGCATCTTAAAAAACCTCTTTACATGTTTTTACTTTGGAATCTTCAAGGATACTCATTAGCCAAAACAGAAAAATGCACGCATGCTTGGGCACCCAATCACAAGGGATCAAAAACTTAATTCACGCACATCATGAATTTGAAAATCAGCCCGTAAAGTACCTAATTTAGGTACGACCAACGGGAGTCGCTTGAAGAGGGGAGAGGGACTTCGTACCTCGGAACCGATAAAAGTCCCTGCTTGACTTAGATGTGTTAAACATATCGCTAATGGAAGAATGTTGAAAATCCTCTTAGGAGGGTGAAATTGGAGTTTTGATTTCTAGTAGTTAGCTAGCGAAGCGCAATCGCAGTTTCAAGCGAGCGAAGCGAAACCAAAAAGCCTATTCCGAAAGCCGTCTTTCCCAAAAATAGGGAGGCAAGGGTACGCACCTAGTAGCTGCGAGCCTAAGATCAAAGGCAGTTCCAAAAGCATGTTCAGACTTGTAATTGCTTATAATTAAATACAGCGTATACATAAGGTGGAAAGAATTCATGATCTAAGACTAAGGTAGCATGAAAAAATGAATTGAAATATATTAAAAGCAGATGAAAGGGATTGATGTGTACCTGGGCTATGTAATGAATGTAAGCTTCCTATATGCTGCTCTTTTTAACGGAGGATGTTGCTCTTTTCCTGTAAGCTTCCTGTATGTTGATTTCAATTAGTAGATCCTCCACGTAAGGATAGCACAAAACGTAAAGGTATATGATGATTTATGAACCAATATATCCTCTTAAAATGTTTGATGCACAAAACAGTTAAAGAATTGAAGAAAAGGAAGCATAAATGATCCAGTTTCTTCTTGAAAATCAACATCAACATCATATTATATAGGAAAACCAGCCACTAATATTTCTCTTTTCTATTGGAAATCAATGCAAACTGAGATTGCTTTAAAAAATCAGTCCCTACAGCCTCTGTTTTATATTAAATCATTTTAATAGACAGCTGATTCGTTCCCAACGCACCATATGGCAGATTATCATTTGAGGTATGCATTTTTTAAATCTGACGAAACCTTCTAAGTTTATCATTTAGATACCTTAGTGCTGGCAGATACATGATAGTGAGTTCACTGGTCTTTGTGCTTACTTACAGGAATTCCCACTATTGGACATGGCCTCTTTGAGTACTGTTCTTGCTCAAGGCATGAACCGTAAGAAAAGGCACGAAATAAGACATGGAATATTCTTATTATCATTCATATTTAAACTTCCTTTATTTACTATTTTTTTCCTGGAGATATGCTATGCCTGGATGACATTGGAAATGTCTCACTATTGTTGTTTGCATGTTACTATGTGTTTTAACTTTTAAGTGATGGCAAATTGTGGCACAAATTACTGGCTATATCCAAGTTTCATTGGACCTCCATCTCAAGGGGGTAGCTGGCCAAAGAATATGTCTACAATCACATGTTTGATATGTGCATCATTTTTAAAGCACAAATTTGGAGTATTAATTTCTTTAACAACAGCAACCCAGTTGATGTACTGCAATATGTAAAACTTTTGACTTACAATAGGACAATCAGTCATTGAACACATATGAAAAAGGATATTTTTTTGTTATTTTTTAGAAAGGAAACACACACATAGAGCTTGACTTCTCTAATTACCTTAAAAACAAAGTGCTCACCCATATTTACTACACACACTATATGCTTTCACTACTTGTGTATGAATTCACAATTAATCACTCAGTCTGAATTAATTTTATTTAAAAGAAATCAAAGTCAGCCCTTATTGTTTGAAAAGCAGACCCAAAAGTATGACTACTCACATTGAAATAA